ATAATTGTCACCTGTGGCCATGGTTGAATATGGCCAGGAGCAATTTCTCTGCTCCTGAAATCTTACTTTAGTTTGACTCTGTCTTCAAAGTATCGACCAGTCTGTTTCTAATATTTATGATATGTAAGCTGCTAGTGACCTGACCTCTAGCCTTGGTGCAGGGAAACGGCATGTATGTTCTGCTGGGATCAGGTTCTTCACCTCAGACAAGGGAAGATAAAGGCTTTGTTTAAAAATGAAGACATCACTCTCGGGTTTATCAGTGGTACTGTACATTTTCCACTCTGTGTTTAAAGGCATACGAAAACACAAATAAATGTATGTGGCAGAGAGAAGAAGGTCAGAATATCAAGTGTCAAAAGTAGCCCATGAAATTTTATTGGTGGTGCATTTAATCAGTGCTAAGCGTTTTTTACAAGGTGCATACAAACAGTGGAATTGTAAAAATTTATGGAATGCTGTGTACAGTGTGGCCATTTATGAAGAAAAGTAAATTTATATCCAGTTGAAATAAACCAAAGGGGAATGTTTTATGGAGACTTGTCAACAGCAGGGTACATCAAGAGAGATGTGGGTAAAGGGAGAATGGGGCATTCACAGGGGCTTACAGATCTTTGAGGTGTTTTTCTGCTTCTTCAGCAGCGAACAGTTTGCATTTTCTGTGGCTCTCAGGCAGGATGCTGGAGGCAGTAATGGTATAGTGGCTTGTTTTTTCTGTAAAAAGGAAAGGAAACACAAGTGAACAGCTGCTACTGGTATCTCTGGTACAAGGCTCTTGCTCTTGGGCTCGTTCCAGCGCAACAGTTTCTTGAGCAGCCCTTGATAGCCAGCTGGGAAGGGTTAACTGAAGCCAATCACTTTGACATCAGCATTTTTGTTTCCTTTTTTGTCCAGTATTTTGTTGATGATAAAGCACAGACTTAGTCAATTGAGAGATTCCAGAGCTGCAGAATCAGAGATAATTTAATTAACGGAATTGCTTGTGATTGCCCACTGGGACAGCGGGTAGCAATTGCTCAATTTAATTTGGAGAAACAAAGATCACATGCATGCTAATGTTTAACAAATATCCAGTGTTTGGGTTAAAGTCTGTTTTTTCTTTTGCAAAGAGGGGGACAGCTGATTCCCAGGGGAATTTCCCAGGAGGTGATTGCCGACAAACAGCTCAAAGCTACAGATAGGTGCTTTTTCCTTTCCTGTGGTATTTTCATGCCCTTCTTCTGGTCTTTTACCTGAACAAAGCAAGGATTTGCTCAAAGAAAGTTTGTTCTTATTTTCAGTGCCCTGGGGGAGATGCTCTGAACAGTAGAAAAACATGCATTGGGCACAAAGGCTGAAAACTATCACATGCTGTGTGCGCAGACTCACAGACTTGCCCCTTGGTACCCAGCTTCCTCAACTGTGTGACTGACAAGTTGTTGAAGAGTTAGCCACAAAGTCCAGAGAAAAGTACAGGACTAAGCTTCCTCTGCAAGGAGCCATCCCTTCATGTTCTTGCTCTTGCATAAATGTTCTTGCTCATGCTCCCCTGTTTGTAGTGATGTAGGTCCACAGTGCATAGATGTGCCCTATTGATAGGCCCTCGGCTAGGGAGGACAGTTCAGGTACCAGTGAGGCTGCTCGCATGTTCTGGAGCCCCAGAAGAACCAGAGCTGGGGGTCCAGGCATTGCCCTTGGCAGCAGTTGTGCTCAGCAGGTCTCTGGAGGCTGATAAATGACATTATCCAAACACGTCAAATCAGAGCACTGAGGCGCAAAATTGCTCAAAGAGTCCTCCTGTATCCAGCATGAGGTCAATGCAAGCAGGGAGAGCAGGGCTGTGGAATACAGTTCCTTCTTCCCTGTAATTCCCTCTGCCTCCCTTGGCAAGGTAAGTTGTACGCAGCCTTACCGTGGCCGTGGAGCTTGGCTTTCTGACCCTCGCTCCACCCTGGCATTGCCCTGTAAAAATACTGCCCAAGCTGCTTCCAGCTGTGTCCGGGCAAGTGCACATGAGGTGTGCACGCAAGAGGGAAGCCTGAGGGAGTTCCCAAGATTGTTGCTGCAGGAAGAGTTGCTCCTCAGCGATGCTTATCTTTAGGATACAAGCAGCAGGTTGACGGTAAAATGTTGCTAAATGGAATGGCATGTGTCCCAAGTGTGCTGGCCACCACAGGAGCCAGACACATGGGAAGTGACTCTTGTCTTTATTCCATCCCTGGAGGTAGTTCCAGTTTCCTTTATTTACTAATGTTCTCCCTATTTCCCTTGACCTCATTTCCTCTGGCTTTTCGGAAGCAACCATGCAATTATCATTCGGTTTGGGTTGACCCTTGGCCGCCTTGTCCCTAGTTGCTGCTGCTCCAAGAGGCTTTCCTGAAATCAAGTGCAAAATACTCACTTATGGCCAAACCCTCTCTTTTTTGAGATAGGAGCCGCGTCTTCAGCACTACACTGTGCGTCAGGATTTGTCCTGAGAGCAACTTGGCGGGGAGAACATGGAGTTTAAAGTCTGTCACAGCTGAGCTTTGATCAGCGCTGGGAGATACTGCAGTGGCTAAAGCTCCCTCTCTTACCAATGCACCCCAGTCTTGTTAATAAATGTATATTTAACAATGTCTGGAGCATATGAAGTGATAATAACTAAATCAATACCTCCCACATTGATTGTCCAGGATCCCTACAGCGTGACGCACACAGCGGTGTGGTAATTTTCCAGCTAACTAGCACCCTGATCTACAGCCCTCCTATTGATTGGCCATTGTATCAGGCAGCCTCTGAGTATTATTGCTTATACCTCTATTCAGCCTCCTTTTCTGATTCATTCGTTTATTACTGGACAGGTACGATTATTTCAGAGACTTTCCGAAATTGGCCGATGGGGGTCAGCCATTTAGGCTTTTATAAACAAGCCATTTTCTATCTCCTCTAGTTGTTGCAGTGGCAAATTTTTCCTTTTCAAGCTTTGGCAGTTGTTGGGGTGGGACTAGGGATGAATATGCCTTTGCTTGGATCTGCTCAAGGAATCAACTTTTCCCTTTCCTTGCTGCGCTGTCTGCCCTTCAGAGGACAGATAGCTCTACAGATAGTAATAGGAGAATTTGGCAAGGGTTGAGGTTCTGCTTGCCACCTGCTTTTGACAGAAGCCACACTTGCTGCCTTTACAGTTCCAGTGCCTTACTCATGCCGGAAGAAGTGGATTCCAGAAAGTCAAATTCAGCTGCAGCCTTCATCGAGCATCAGCTTGTTGATGGGCCAGACTGGAAGGGAAACAATTTTCTCATTCAAGAACAATCTCCAAGCTATAAACAAATAATACTAATTCTTCCTTGGACAAAACTAACGCCTTTTAGACTTTCTTTGAAAACACTAACAACTCTTCCTTGAGGGTGAGAACCCAAGCTGGGATGTGGTAATAATTTATACCAATGAGTAGGAGCAAGTGAGCGTTTCACAGCAGGGAGCACTGTCTGCTACTGAAGCTCTTTCATTTCACTCCAAAGAATATTTATAGATACACAGACTTGAATGCACAATGTCCCTGTCCCCAGGCAATCCTCACCCACTAGTCTGTCATGGGACACGTGTATTTCTTTGCCTTTTTTGCAGTTTTAAAATTGTTCCCATTTCATAGCAACTCTCATTTGCAGTGAGTCTCCTGATGAAGATTTCTCCTCAGTTAACTCGTGCAGAGAGTGTCTGGTGCGTACAAAGGCAGGAGTGAACTTGGAGGAGCTCTGTAACACTGGTACTTAACCAGATGCACTCCTGCAGCTGCAGTTTCTTCTGAAGTGTCATAATTAGAAAATCACTCAAGATCTTTTCAACTAGCTCTGTTTTCAGAGCCTTGGGAGAAGCCGGCAGAGTCACCTCAAGGGAGAGCTGCCTCAGGTCCCTCCCTGCATGCTGGCAGTAAGTGACTAATGAACAAAGGAGTGAGTCTGTGCGTGCAGTAGGAGTGCTGAGACTGCAGCTCACTTTATTGGTTGTAGTGATTCCACTAGACCCATGTTTTAGCCACTTGTTGATGAATCATCCCCTAAAAAGGTAGAACACGTAGGTGCTGCTGTGGGTTATGCTGTGATTGATGCAGCTCCTGGTGGTGCAGTACTCTGTGGGTTCTTCTGAGCTGAGTCTGCTTGAACAGGCCTGAAGTTCACTGACTTACATGGAAATTGCTGGTTTGGTTTTTTGCAAGAATGAAAGCTTTAATGTCAATGCGATGCTCTAAACCTTTTCTGGGGCATGTTTGAGGGTCCCTTCCTGTCTGCACTGTAGAAATAGGGATTTTACAGCAAGCTGGAGTGACACATCCTTGTCTGTATTGCTCCCTGCATCTCATTTGCTAAGCATTGTTGTCTGCCCTTGCTTTTAGGTTGGCAAGTTGCTCTTTTCACCAGCCTTGCAGAACCATGAAAATATACTTGTCTGCCCTCAGCACAGCGCCTGTGTGACAAAAGAGATAATGCTGCCCATCAAAAATGACCCTAGGAAATGGGAAAGCAGAGATTGTAAAGCTGCTTTTATAGCCACCCTTCTGGCACAGTGTCCACTGCTTTTGGTTTCTCGTTTTTTTCAGTGTTGGAACCCAAAAAGCTAGGAATTTCTGTAATATAAAAGCATTGTGTTATCTTGTGTAATGAGCTGATTCTGTGTTTTACAAGGTTGATGGCCAGCAAAGACCTTTATTCTCTAAGGGGAAGAGCAGCTCCTGTTGCCTACAGAAAGTTACCTCACCAGTTTCAGAGCAATGTGCAGAACATTGTCCAGAGCATTTGGTCCTAAGGAAGCTGGCAACTCCAGCACCGTTGTGTTCTGTTATGATGTGTTTGGAAGTGTTCAGTACAACACCTCGAAGAATTCACACTGGGCTTTCCAGAAATTCTTCTGCACCCCAAGGTGGATGTATTAGTTGGAATGTTGCCATTTCCTGTGCAGTACCTGTTATGGGATCCATTTCCCCCGAAACTCTTAACAGTCTTGTGTGCACAGCAATGCTCACTCTCCATCATCTTTTGCAGAATTACAGAAGACTCGGCAGTGACAACATTTGAGGCGTTAAAGGCTCGTGTCCGTGAGTTAGAAAGGCAGCTTTCCCGTGGGGACCGCTATAAATGTCTCATTTGCATGGTGAGTAGCACTCCACTTGTAATGAATCAGAAATGCTTTGGTATCTTTGCTGAGGAGGGAAAAGGCTTTTCTTCTTTTTTTTGGGTGGGGTGGGGGAACTCATCTTTGTCCCTATACACCAATTAGCCTTTTATATGAAGGTGCTAGGTCTTTTCAGCAATGCAAATTTCTGAATGCATGACATTGTTCCGCTGGTATTTGTAGCTGTCCATCTGTATGAGGGGCAGAAAAGCCCCAACTTAAGACAACTTTCAGCCTTCCTACAGAAAAATTCCAGATACCAGCGTTCTTTTCCTGCATGCACAGATTTATATCCATAGGAGAGAGCAGAATCTGTTACCTGAGACTCTCAATGTGATTTGGAAACAGGAATGTTGCTCTATCACCTAAAAGTTGTCGATGTCCTGCTTGCTCTGTTGCGATGCTGTGGCTTTCCTGAAGAAGAGCAGCAGCTCCCTCTGATGGTGGGAGCCTGTAAAGCTTCGCATCTCCTGTTGGGTTTTTATCCTGCTG